AATTTTAAAATAAAATAAAAAATAAAACACAATAATACTAAATTTGGTGGTAATATCAATATGAAAGGTTTGCTGAATGTATGCATTTATTTTAGATCAATGTTTACAATCAATGTGTGTTAAATATCTAAAATAAAATCAGGTAGAAGAAAAAAAGAAAATTTTTAGAGTTGTACTTTTAAAAAAAGTATTCAAATTGTCCCGCAAATTGAAGGACAGTAAAAAGTGGGTATGGGAAAAGAATACCTCCTTACAAGATGAAGAAGTAGAAATGTCCAATAAATACATAAAGAGCGCTCTGTGTTTCTCACCATTTGAGAAATGTAAATTAAAACAACAATAAGAGCTCACTTTGGCAACACGTATACAAAATTGGAACAATACAGGGAAGATTAGCTTGGCCCATGCACAAGGATGACACGTACGTTCATGAAGCATTCCATGTTTTTTTCATTGAGAAGAAAGGCTTGTACTAATATTGTTTTAGACAAGACATCATGTCTGCATCCTGTCCTCTGAATAACTATTACAAAAACAACAATATGCAATGTATTAATTATTGTCACTGTCCCACTGAACTGTTTTGAAACTGTTTCATTGTTATTTTTTTTCTCAGTAAAATGAATGAAAAAATAAAATAAAAAAATAAGATTCTATCTCACACTGGAAAGAATCACTATCAAGGAATCAATCATTAATAAATGCAGGGGAAGTGAAAGGGACAAGTCTCCATTGTTGGGGGGAGTGAAAACTGGTACAGGCATTATGGAAAGCAGTATGGATATTCCTCAAAAACTAAAACTAGAGATTCCCGTTGACCCAGCCATCCACCTCTTCGGTATCTTCCCAGAGAGTTAAAGTGCAGCGCTACATGACTGCCCATGTTTATAGCAGCACAACTGATAATAATTAAACCTTAGAAACAGCTCTATGCTCACCAGTAGATGAATGGGTGAGAAATCTGGTGTTCATCTACAGTGGAGAACTACTCAGCCATAAAGATAAATATGAGGCATTTTTAAGTACATAGAAGTGTCTTGAGCCCATACTCTTTTGTTTTGTTTTCTAATTTTGTTTGCTTGTTTTGTGTTGCATTTTTTGAAACAAGTTCTGATGTATAGTTCAGGCTGATCGTGCACTCACTTTGTGGCCCAGGTGTGGTCTCAAACTTTTAACAATCCTCCTGCCTCAGCCTCTTGAGTGCTGGGATTACAGACATGCACCACCACGCCCAGGTTTAAAATCACAATCTTAACTGAAATAAATCAGATGCACATTTAAATATTGCATTGCTTTTCTTGTGTCAGAAACCCAAACTATAAATAAAGAGGAAAATGGAGGACAGAAATAGAAATAACTTTTTTTTTAATATGGGAAAGAGAGAGAGAGATGAAGGAGAAGGGAGGGAAGGAAGAAAATAAAAGGGATTTAAAGGAAAAATAGGAATTGGAGAAAAATGGAAATATAGCTTAGTAAATGGAGGTAGAATAAGGGTTGGAGGGAGGAGAGTGAAAGGGGCCCCCCAAATTAAGACGGGCTATGTACCTGCATTCCTGACCCCAGAATGTGACCACTATGTACAGTGAACACGTGCTAATATAGGTATGTACTCTGAACACGTGCTAATATAAGTAAGTAAATAAATAAACTAATAAAATTTACTGGTCTTACTCCTAAATAATCACTGATGCAAAAACACAAAACTATGTAAAAAGGATGAATGGCAGAGGGATGCACAGGTAGAATAAAAGCTAACACATGAGAAAGTGAAATATTCCTTTCATGATAAGGATAGCCTGAGGAAATTCATAGCCATCAATCCAGCATTTCAAGAAAATCCAAAGGCTATCCTAGAAAGAAACAACTAATCTAAATGGACCAAAATATCTATCAAGAATGAAAATACCAGGTGCAATGAACAGTTAATATGAAGGAAATGTAGGGAGTCAGCAACAGGAAAGGTGTAGGTGTCCTCACCAGTACCAGCTCTCAATGGGAATGGTGCTACTTCCCCAGCCAAGAGGCACAAACAGGCACAAAGGATCAGGAAACAAAACTGAGCAGTATGATGTATATATTAAATATGTATTTCCCAAAAGGAAGGTCAGAGACTAAAAGTCAAAGAATAGAAAACAATAATCCCTGCAACAGAGCACCCCTCAAAAAATCAGGAATACTTCTGCTCTATCCACAAAAACTGGAGGTCAAACCAAAACTATTTGTAAGAGGCAAAGAAGGCCACTGCATAGTGGTTGAGAACAGGAAGTAAGAACAGTTATTAACATATATACACTAAACAATGGCACATCCAACTTCATAAAGGAAGTGCTACTGAACGTGGTAGACAGGCATAAACACAATCACAGTGGATGGCATCGATACACCGCTATCATAAATAAGAATATTAGTATTTTTTGTTTTTTAAAATTAATTTAATTGAGAAAAATATCAATGAGACAGTTTCGAAACAGGTTAATAAGACAGTTACAATAATTAATACATTGCATATTGTTCTCTTCATAGTAGTTATTCATAGTACAACATGTAGACATGATATCTCGTCTAAACACTATTAGCACAAACCTTTCTTCTCATTGAACTAATTGAAAGTAGCTGTGTATCTATCTAATTTTGTACATATATATTTTTTTCGATAAAAAAGTTTCCTTATTTATATCCCCCTTTTTTGTTTAGTTTTTTTCAGAGATGTGTATTCCATTTCCATTCAAATATTATAGGCACATGAACTCAACAAATAAGAATATTAACTAGATATCATATCAGCAAAGAAACTTACATGGCATGGGAGATACCATGATCACAATTAAATCAAACTGAAATAAAACCTTTGGAGAAATGGACAGAAAAAAATATCTATATAAGAGCAGGACACACATATTTTTCAGTAGCACATGGAACTTTCTCCAAAATAGACCACATATTAACTACTAAAGAAAGCTTAAGTAAATGTAAAAATTGAATTTATAATAGTGTCTGATCATTGGACAATGAAAATAGCAATCAATGACAAAAGAAAATAAAATGTCATGCAATTACATAGAAACTAAACAATACACAATTAAACAGTAGCTTACAGATGAAATTAAGTGAGAAATATGACAGTTTTTAGAACAAAAATACAATGATAATACACAATTCCTGACTGACAGTGCATAGCAGAGGCAGTCCAACAAGGGAAGTTTGTACCTGCGAAAACTCACATCACGAAAAGCATAATCTCAAATAAGTAACTGACCAGTACGCCTGAAAATCATATGCAACAGAGCAATTAAAACTGAAAGTTATTACAAAGAAGAAAAGTATAAAGATCAGAGTAGAGATCAATTAAATTGAGAAAAAAATATGCAAAAGAATCAACGAGGACCACAGATGTAGCTGAGTGTCGCCTGCATGCCTGGCAGGACCAAGGTTGTGGGCTCATTTCCTGGTACCAAAAAAGAAAAAAAAAATCAAAGAATTTAATGAAGAGTTGGTTCTTCAAGAGTGTAAACAAAATAGACAATTCTTAAGTCAATCTAACCAAAAAGGAAAAAAAACAAATACACAAGTCAATGCAATTGGCAATGAAAAGGTGAAACCACAGCAAATACTGCCAAATAAAAAAGAATATTAATAACTATTTTGCAAACCTATACACTAATAAATCAGAAAATTTGGAAGAAATCAACATTCTCCAGATACACACGAATTACCAAAACTGATCCAAGAAGATTTAAAACTCTAAATAATCCAATAATAGGCAGTGAAGTTAAAATAGTAACTGAAAACCAACAAAGTAAGAAAAGCTCTCAGGCTTAGATATGTTCCCTGCCAAATTCTACAAAAACTTAAGGGAATATCTGATGCCAATAATCCTGAAGCT